ATGCACCGCGGCAGCCGCGGTGGCAACGGCGCCCTTGAGGGCCGGGGGCCGGGGAATGGTCAACAGCCATGCTCATTCTCGCGAGGGCCGGCCGCAGGCGGCGCCCAACTGGGGCTGGCACATTTGGCGGAGCACCTGGCCACGTTTTCGCGCGGCGATGGGGCTGACCTGCCCGGGCAAGTCACATGCCCGGAATTTTGGGGGCTTCCCCGAAAAATCGGCCCCGGCGTCCCCGGGCGACCGCCCGCTCGGCCTTACGGCCCGGGGTGCGCCATACAAAATGTGCGCGCCCTCTTTGGCTTCCTTCCATCCGGTCGCGCGCCCCAGCTCGCAGGGGGGGGGGGGGGGGGGGGGGGAGGCGTGTCGGGCCGGCCCCCTGGGCGCCCTCGTGCTGGCGCGGCAAGGGCCCGGGAGATACATCGCAACTCGGCCTCAAGCTATGGCGGCCGTGGCCGCCCGGCCGCGCGCGCGCGCCCCGTGTCCCGGAGATTAGATAGGCCTTCCTGCCGGTGCGGCAACAGCAAGGGCAGCGGCGACGGGGCAGAGGCCCCTCGGCCGGCCGTCGTCCCCCCCGCTCCCCCGAGGAGGAGGGCGCGCCGGCCGGCCCCGGCGGGCCTTTCGCCCACAACCGGCCCCGACCGCCACCGCACCGGGACGGCGGCCGTGGCCGCCTCTCGGAGGCGGAATGCCTCTGCCTCATCGTCGGCAGGCCCCGCACCCCCCGTGTCTCAAGCGGCTCGGTGCGTCGGCGTGGTCCGACCAGACCCGGAGCGACGCGGGGCGAGGTTGAAACCGCCCGGGCGCGGCCGGAGTGGCCCCCTGGCCGGCCGCCGCCCCCCCGGGGGGGGGGGGGAAGGGGGGGCGGCCCGCCCCCCCCCCCCCCCCCCCCCCCCCGGTCGAGCCCGCGTCCGACGCGCCCCGATCGGGGCGCACGCGCGCGACGGGACCAGTGCGGCCGGCGCTCGGGCTGCACGCCGCCGCCGGGCGCAGGCGCGGGGCCCCAGCCAACCGGTCCGGGGCCACTTCGCCCGGAATCCGGCTCAGGGGCCCCGCCCTGTGGAAAAGAAGCCTTGCCGCGGGGTGCTGGTGGGTATGCGCGCGCGTGCGCGCCCCCGCATGAGTGCCCCAGCGGAGGCGCCGCCCTTGACTGGGGGCCAGCGCCTCCGGGCGGGGCCGCGCCCCTGCGCGCGGAGCTCACCGGCCAGCCCTGGCGCTGACGGGCAGGTGTGTTGCATGTGCCTGTGTGTGTGTGTGTGTGTGCGTACGTGCGCGTTCCTTCACATGTGCGCGTGTGCCGGCGCGCCCGACCCGGCCCCACGGGCCGGGAGATCCCCCACCTACGCCCGGTGGTTGCCGCCCCCCTCGCGCCCGGGGCCCCGCGCCCCCGCCAGCCAGGGGCTCTGCCCGCTGGGGGTGGTGTCCGTGTCACCCCCGCCAAGGGTCTAGCTCTGGGCGGCCGGCGGCAAGGACCGGCGCTCGCATGCACCCATCAGCCCCCGGCGGCGGCGGCGCGGCGGCGGCGGCGGCGGCGGCGGCGGCGGCGGCGGCGGCGGCGGCGGCGGCGGGACGCCGGGGCACTGATCCCCCCGAGGCCGATTGGCAGCCCGTTGCCGCTCGGGGCATGGTCCGTGTCCCCCTCTCGCCCCTGTGCTGGGTCCCGCCCCCCGCCAGCACCCCTGGGGGGGGGGGGAGACGCACCGAGTCCCCCGCCCCTTCTCTCCCGGGTCGCTGGCTGATTGAGCCAGCGCCGGGGAAGCCGAGATGCCCGGCCCCGGCGCCGGTGTCGGACAGCGCCCTAGATGCCGCACGGCCCCCCCCCCCCCCCACACACACACTTGCCGGCCACCAGGGGAGGGCCGGAGAGTGGCGCGGGGAAGCCACCCCCATTCCCGCCACCGCCACCCCGCCAGGCATCCGGCGAGGGAAGATCGCCGCCCACTGAAGATGCTGAGGCGTGGTCACCCCCGGCCAGATCATCCAGCAACCCCGCCTCCCGCCTCCCGCCGCCCTGCCCGCCCTGCTCCTCCTCCTTCTCCCCCCTCCCCCGCTCCTCCTGCCACCTGGGCCGCCTGGCCCCTCCCCTCTCTCCCCTCTCCTTCTCTCCGCTCTCCTTCTCTCCCCCCCCCCCCGCCTCCTCCCTCTCCCCTCCTCTCGGCCCCCACACCGACACCCGTGTCCTCCCTCCACGGAGTCCAGCGCGCGACACTGGAGCCCCCATACCTTGCGGCCACGGCGGCCGCGTCTAGCCCCACCCCGGGGAGACCCCTGACCCCGGGGCCATCGGTGGCCCAGGACGATGCCACGCCCGACCCATCGCCGCCACACACACCGACCGTGGTGGCCGGCCCGGCGGCGCCCGGAGAGCCTGTCGGATCGGGCCCACCGGCCGGCCTGGGCCCGGCCATGCCCGGCAGCGGCCCCCCTCCGGCGGGCCTGCCGCACTCGCGGTCGGCGCCGGACGGCCTGTCGGGCCTGTCGTCGGCCGGGCCCGGGGCCGTGACCTGCGCGCCGCCATGCCGCGACCGCGGCCGGCCCATGGCCACGCCCTCCGAGGGGGGGGTGCGCCCGCGCGCGGCCCCCTGCCCATTGAATGCCGCACCGGCGGCCACGTCGACCTCCTGCTCGTCGGCCCCCTGCTCGTCGGCCCCCTCATGCCACTCGTCGGCGGCCGTCTCGCCGGCGGCCTTCTTCGTCAGCCCCACCCCGGCGACGTATGACGCCTCCAGCGACTCGCTGGCCCTTTCGCCGGGGGTGGTCTTCCCGACGGCCGTCGGGACCATGAGCGACAGCGGCGTCGCCGTGGCCGGACCGAGGCCCGGCGCCGCCGTTGCCGGGCGCGACTCCGGCGCCGAGTCCGATGGCGGAGGCCCCGGCGGCCGGAGCGACGGCGAGTCACGCTCCACCTCGGCCTCGCTGTCGCACCATCTGCGCGATTGGCTGGTGCCGCGGCGGCCGTCGCAGATCGGCACCTCGGCCTCGGCCTCCTCGTCCAGCTGCTCGTCGGCCAGCCACTCGCCGGAGGCCGCGCGCGGGGGGGCCCCCGGCGGCGGCGGCGGCGGCGGCGGCGGCGGCCCAGCCGAGGCAGGCCCGGCCGACAGCTCGTCCAGCTCCTCGCTGGCCGCCAGTCTGGGGTTCACCTTCCGCCGGCGGACCTCCTCGGCGGTGCAGGCCCGCTCGACCGCCGGGGCCGATGCCCCCGGCGGGCCGGCCACCCCCGGGGGCGGGCCATCTCCCGGCGGGGGCCCCGCCTCGCGGCCCGTCTCCACCAGCCAGCTGCCGGATGTGCCGCTGGGCGGGTCGGCCACCGACCGGGGCCCGCGCGATCCGACCGACACCTTCGGCTGTCCGGGCTCGCCGGCGCGCGCCGAGCAGCTGCCCTCCCACTGGACCACGCCCTCCGGGGCCGAGGTGTCCACCCCGAGGCCGCCGTCCATGGCCATCATCGGCGGCCGGGCCAGCTTCCGCGCCCGGCCGACCACCCTCGGCACGGCGGATCTCTCGCCGGAGCTGATGCTCGCCCCGGCCGGGGCCGGCACCGGCACCGGCACCGGCAGCTCCTCCGATCGGGACTCCTCGCCCATCGACAATACGGCGGCCACGCGCTCCGTGCGCCACCTGCGCACCGAGGCCGCTCTGGCTAGCTCCCTGTCGTCCTTCCGCCTGCAGGACCCGGCTCCGGCCGGGGGCCCGGCCGCCGCCCCGGCCGTCGATCTCCCGTGCGTGCAGCCTGGCCGGCCGCCCTTCCTCGGCCATCGGCTCGAGGCCTGCTCCTGCCCTGAACACCCACACGCATCCTCTCCCCCTGTCCCTCTCTCTCTCTCTCGCCCCCGCCCCCGCCCCCGCCCCCGCCCCGCCCCCTCTCGCTCGCTCACACACACGCATGGACGCACGCACACATGCTCGATCTCCGGGGCTCGGACCACAGGCCCGGCCTGCGCTCAGACGCCCCGCCCAAGCCGGCGGCCATCCAGACGCGCCTCCCCTCGCCGCGGGAGGAGGACGAGCACCAGGCCCAGGACCCGGGCTCGGCAATGGCGCCGCCGCGCTCGCGGCCCCCCCTTCCGGCCGGCCGGCCGGCCGTTGCCACCAGCACGCCCCCCTACCACCCGCCGGACTTGCCGATGCCCACGACGCCGGCTCCGCCACATGGAGCCGATCCCGCCGGCGCGGTGCCCCCCTCCCCGCGCAAGCGTGTCCCCAGTGAGTTCCGCATGGGGCACACCCTCGGTGAGGGGTCCTACTCGTCGGTTCGTGCCGCTCCCTCCCTCCCCCCCCCCCCTCCCTCTCTCTCTTCCTCTTCCTTTCGGACCTTCCTCGCGCTGCCCACTTGCCTCCTTTGCCTCCCGGCGCGGGCCTGGGACAGCGAGCTCCAGCCGCCTGACACCTGCTCGCCCATGCCGCCCTTCTGGCCCCGGGGCTTTCCCCCCCCCCCCCCCCCCCTCACCGCCTGCACTCCTCCCCTCCGCGCAGGTTGTCCATGCCGTGGAAGTCGGCACCGGGCGTGAGTTCGCCATCAAGGTCGTCAGCAAGGCCCACGTCATTCGCCACAAGAAGGTCAAGTATGTCAATGTGGAGAAGGACGTCCTGCATCAGCTCGGCCGAGACTGCTTCATCCATACCATTCGTCTTCACTACACCTTCCAGGACACGTATAACTTGTGTACGCGCCACGACCCAGCGTCCCCCCCCCCTCCCCCTGCTGCCAGGCTGCCCGCCACCGCCGGCCGCCAGCCCTTCCGCCTGCACGGCTCCGTCTCCTGACCCTGACATATGTGCCTCTCGCCCCCTGGTCGGCCGTCTGTCGCCCGAGCATAGACTTTGTCCTTGATCTGATGCCCAACGGGGAGCTCCTCGACTGGCTGAAGAAGGTTCGTTTGCCCGGGCGGCCCCCCTGCGCCTGTGGCCTGTGGTCTTTTTTTTTTCAAAGCCGCGCGCCTCGGCGAATGTCCCTGGCAATCGCTCACATCTGTCCCGTGCATGGCGGTCCTCGCGTCTCTTTCCCTTTGGGGGGTTCCTGTGTCCGCAGGTTGGCTCTTTCGACCTCGAGTGCACAGTTTTCTACTCGGCCGAAATTCTGGCAGCCATCGCCTATATCCACAACTTGGGGATCATCCACCGGTGCGCCATCGTGCCCCCTGCACCGACGCCATCCCAGCAGCATGTCCTGACGCCCGGCCCCTTCTCGCTCATCCCCCCCCCTGCTCCCCCTTGCTCGCGGGCGACGCACATGTCAACCATGCATCCACTCACCCACCCACCCCCCACCCCACACACACACACACAGCGACCTCAAACCCGAGAACATCCTGCTCGACGCCAATATGCACATCAAGCTGGCGGACTTCGGCACGGCCAAGCTCTTCACACGGGATGAGCTGGCCCAGCTACCCCCGCCCGCCGGGTCCAGCACCTCGGCCAGCGGATCCTCCTCCAGTTTGGAGGCCAGCCGGCCGGGGTCCGCCGCCGGGGCTATCCCCTGTGCCGGGCACATGGCCGGGTGCTCGCCCGCCTGCAGCCTCAGCAAGGAGCGGTGTGACCTGCTGTGCGAGCGCGACTCGCGCCTCCTCCGGGCGCACTCCTTTGTCGGCACGGCGGAGTACGTGTCCCCGGAGCTGCTGCAGCAGAAGTACACCACCACCGCCTCGGATCTCTGGTCCTTCGGGTGCATCATCTACCAGCTGCTGTCCGGCCGGCCGCCCTTCCGCGGGGCCAACGACTACCTGACTTTCCAGCGCATCATCAACATGGAGTACTCCTTCCCGGACCTCTTCCCGGACACGGCGCGCGACCTGGTCGAGCGTCTCCTGGTGCCGGACTACCTCCAGCGCCTGGGCAGCGGCGAGGCCAATTACAAATCCATCCGCGCGCACCCCCTCTACAAGGGCATCGACTGGGAGGGGCTCCACCTCCAGGTCCCGCCCAAGGTGCGACCGCGCCGCCCGCCGGCTGCCTTCCCCTTTTGCCCCGGCTTTTTGTGCACTGCCGCTGACGCTGAGCGCCCCTGTCGCCTGCCCGCCCACCTACCCGCCCAGATCGCGCCCTATCTGCCAGCCACATCTGACGAGCCGGAGTGGCGGTCCGAGTTCGATGACAGCATCAGGTGCGCTGCCGCCATGTGGATGCCCCTGTGCCGCCGCCATGCGCGCATGCCCGGGCCGAGCTAACGTGCACGCTGTCCCACCATCCTGCCCCCTCCCTTCCCCCCCTCGTCGCATGATCTGCTTTCCGCGCGGCGTTGCGTGGCCCGGCCTCCAGCGTGATGAGCTACGAGCGCGACAAGGCCAGCGAGCACGCCTCCGAGAACAAGCACCCGGACAGCGACTTCGACGACTACTACGACGACGACGTGGTCACCAGCGACACCGAGAGCATAGACCCGCGACATGTGGCTCGGTCACACCCGGCCACGCCTATGCCGCCGGTGTCCGGGCCCTTCGCCCCGCAGACCGACGGCACAAAGCCCGAGCCCTCTACCAAGTGGTATGTTGCCGCATTTGACCCTCGCAGCCCGCCGGGAGGGGGGGCCTCATGCCGCAGTACTTTCCCCCTGCCTCGGCCCCCGGAGAGTCCTCTTCTCTGACGCCTACCTCCCCCCTGCCCCCCTGCCTGCCTGTAGGAATGCCTTCCTGTCCAGCGGCGAGTCCATGGTATACTGCGGGACAATCAACAAGCGCCGGGGGCTATTCGCCAAGACGCGCCAGCTCCTGCTGACCGACCGGCCGCGGCTGCTGTACATCTGCCCGGAAAAGGTGCGACGCCGGACATCCTGTGCCCACCTCCTCCTCCTCCTCCTCCTCCTTGCCCTCGCGCACCCTTTCCCCAGGCCCATGCCTCATCTGCCCTCGCGCTCTGCCCTCGCACTGACCTTGGCTTTTGCGCCCCCTCCTCTCCGCCTGCAAAACGCCGATGCCGTGCAGTTGCTCGTCCGCGGGGAGATCCCCCTGTCGACCCAACTGAAGCCCGAACAGAAGAGCAACCGGACCTTCTTCCTGCACACTGTACGTGGACCCGGCCCATCCTCCTTTCGCATGCTCCCGCACGCCTCCTGACGCCCCCCCCCCCCCCCCATGACCAGCCAACCCGGACATACTACCTGGAGTCCCTGGCCAACGACGCCGAGGAGTGGTGCATCATGATCAACACCATGCTAGACAAGTACGAGGAGGAGCTGGACCTCCACGCCTCGCGGGACTCCCTGGCGGCGGCCCGTGGGACGTGACCGGATCTCCCCTCCCCTATCCTCCCTCTCCTTCCGGATGCATGTGTGTCCCTCCCCCTCCCCCCCCCCTCCCTGTACAGCCATGTAAACGTACACATACACACAACACATACAACTACATACATACATGTTCCCCCTCCCTCCCAGCCATATGTGCCCCCCGCGCTCCATTGCCGTGGCGGCCTGTGTCGCGTCGTACAATGCCCTGCCCTCGTGTCCTCTGCCACAGCCCCCGCTCCATCGGGAATGCGCATCCCAAAGGGGCGGCTTTCAGAAGATGCCCCTTCCCAAAGTGCCCTCGATCGGGCCGACCCACCCCCAGGTGGGGAATGCTCCCCGCAGGGGGTCCGTGTGTCGAGGATACATTTGATGATCGCACGCCGCATGTGGGGGTCGGAGGGGGGGGGGGGGGGGGGGGGGGAGCTGCATGCGCGGTCGCAGGCGCAAGAAGCAAGGCCAGGGGACTAGGGAAGGCGTGACCGCAGGAAGTCCGCCGTCGGGCTGCTGGCGAACCCCTGCCGGCTGGCGAGCAGGGCCTGCTCCACGGCCGCCGCCGCCCCGGGCAACGAGCCCACCGTGCTGGAGAAGACGGGCACAGGCCCGGGGCTGGCCCTGACGCCGGTGCCGCCGCCATCGCCGCCGGTGCCGCCGCCGCCGTCGCCGCCGACAGCGGTGACTCCCGACAGCTCGGGCCCCGTCGCCATGGCCAGCTGCAGGGCCCGGTTGACCGGCCGCTGCTCGTCGGCGGACATCGTCCCCGAGGGACCCTGGTAGCGGAACCGACTGAGCAGCTGCTCCATGGAGGCCTGGCCCGGAACCGGCGAGGCCGGAACAAAGCCCCCACTCGAGCCAGGGGTCTTGCCTGTGCGCGAGCCCGCCCGCAAGGGCCCACCGCCAGCCGCCGACGAATCGCCAGCCTCACACATGGCCATGTCGCCTCCCTCCTCCGAGCGCCCGGCCGGCTCCCCGGCCGAGGGCGCACCGAGGGAGGCAGCGCGCCCGCGCGTGCTGGCCATCATGCCAATGACCTGTGCCCGGGACATGGTGCCAGGATCAAGCCCGGCCGGGCTCCGCGGGCCAGAGCGCGCACGCTTCCACCGGGCATCCAGGTCGTCCACCACCGGGGTCGGGGACCCCGGCGCATGCAGGCGCATCTGCGCAAAGTAGGCACTCGGGGAGATGGGCGACGCCGACACCTCAAGCTCGAGCCCCACGCTGTCAGCCTCGCCGCTGGACACCCGCGGGGACATGGCCCCTGCAGACCCCCCGGCCCAGGGCGACGCCCCATGCACACCGTCGGCCCCGGCCCCGGGCCCCACGCGCTGAGCCGACCGTGACCGCGGCAGCAGCCCGGTCCCAGCCGGCCCGGCTGCCCGCTGGTGGTGCCGGGTGCCCCGTGCAAAGAGCCGCGTCGATGCCGACTCGCGATTCAAACTCCCGGGCGAGGAGAAGGAGCTCAGCAGCAGCGACCCGCTCGGGCTGCTGGTGGAGTCGCCGCTGGAGTGCGACCGAGGGAAGCCCCCGGTACCCGGGGCCCCGCCGGGCCGCCTCCCGGACCCCGGGGTCGATCCCGCCGAAAAGTAACTGAAAGAGGAGGAGGAGGAGGAGGAGGAATACGACGAAGATAGCAGAGTGGCGCTCTGGGCATTGATGGACCCCGGGGCCGAGTTGGACCGGAAGAGATCCGGCAGCGGCGGCGGCCGACATCCAAACACCTCCTCATCCTCGTCGTCATCCACCAGGTCAATGCTGTCCAGCTCGTCCAGGCCCTCCGCTGCCCGGCGCAAGTCCGGGAACAGGGACAGATCCCGTCGTGGGGGGGCCGCCGACTGCAGGGGGTCCGACCGCGCCGACCCGGGCCCCGGCTCCGGGCTGGCCAGGAAGTAGGGCGACGCCTGCTGCTCGGTCAGATGGTACCCGGCGGCCACCGGCGAGCCGGCCGACCCGCGGCCGCGCCCGCCCAGGCCGAAAGTACGCCGGGGAGGGGGCACAGGCTCGGGGCGCCCGCCAGCCGGTCGCACCAGAGCCGCCGATGTCAAGCGCTCGGGCGGTGGCGATGCGTTCCGGGCCGGGGCGCCTGACGTCGGTATAGGCGTTTACATGTGTGTGTGTGTGTGTGTGT